CCATGCCTGGCCTCTTGGCTCTTTTTAAATCATTCATTCCCAACTCCTTCATTTGCTTTTTGCAGTCCTGTTTCCTCTTTTTAGCAAGGCTAGCTTTCTTTTTGATGTTTCTGGAATGACCTTCACTTTTGAGATGGTTATTTTAAAAATCCATTCGTTCCTGAGCTCTGCCAGTGTCAATTCCTCTGGCTATCTCAGTGTCTTCTCTTTGAACTATTGCATCTTTGCTTTGATATCTTGTTTTAAAATTCATTAAGCCCCTAGTACAGAGAAGGCTACCCTAAAAAAAAAAAAAATTCATTAAGTCCTTTGAGTTCTTTGTTGTTCATGATTATCATCTATTTCAAGTTAGCTTTTTCCTTTTCTTTTCCCTCCCTGCTTCCCTCCCTTTCTTCCTTCCTCCCTCCCTCCCTCTCTCTCTCTTTCTTTCTGTGATTGTCTTTCATCTGCCATTTGTTTTTCCTCTTCCCTGCCTGCCTCTCCTGTTGTTTTTTTTTTTTTTTTCAGTATTATCTTTGTATAAGTCTGGTCCTATTTCTTTTTTACTATAACTCCTCTTTAGATGAAGTGAGTTATTCTGGACCAGCTACTTGTGGGGTTGTATGTAGAGAAGGGAGTAGAGTAGAATCCAGGCTATCAGGAATTCTCTTGGCTTCCTAGTGAAGCTCCTTCTGACGGGGTTTTGCGTAACTATGTGAATTGGTTTAGCCCTTTCCTCTTCCAATCAGTTGGAACTTAGCAGCTGCAGGGCTATAAAAATGGCACATCTGTGTTTCCTTGGTCAGTCCACTCCCCTGCTTCTCCTTGGTGCCAGTTGCACCAGAGCGGCTGCCAGAGCCAGCCCACCCATCACCACCCCAGTGTTCTACTGAAGGTCTTGTGAGTTGTGCCCTCAAGGTGCAGTCCTTGTTCTTGGAGAACTTTGAGTTCTGCCAGCTCTCCCTGAGGCCTACAGCCATAGTATTCTCTATTGGCATTAACCTTCTGGATCTTCTCAGCACCTCTTCTGGCCGCACAGGCTGATGTGATAGCTTGCTACTCTCAGCACCGTCACCTGTCACCCTCTGGCCACTGGAGTGCTCAGCCCAGAAAGGCTGGGGAGTTAATCCCTCCAGGAGGAGCTCTCAAGTGGACGGCTCTGAGGCATGCTCCCTGCACTGTTACTAAGGTCCCCAGGACTGGCCCACAGGGGTGACATGTTCATGCATCCCTGTAAAAATAATGTATAGAAGATCTGATGATGGGCCGGGCGCGGTGGCTCACGCCTGTAATCCCAGCACTTTGGGAGGCCGAGGCGGGTGGATCGCGAGGTCAAGAGATCGAGACCATCCTGGTCAACATGGTGAAACCCCGTCTCTACTAAAACTGCAAAAAAAATTAGCTGGGCATGGTGGTACGTGCCTGTAATCCCTGCTACTCAGGAGGCTGAGGCAGGAGAATTGCCTGAACCCAGGAGGCGGAGGTTGCAGTGAGCCGAGATCGCGCCATTGCACTCCAGCCTGGGTAACAAGAGCGAAACTCCGTCTCAAAAAAAAAAAGAAAAAAGAAGATCTGATGATTATTCTCCTTAGCTATGTTAACATAGTGAATTGTGTTTATGGACTCTCCCTTAACCATCTTTGCATTCTCAGAATGATGTGATTTTTAAAGGTACTGCTGAATTCTATTTGCTTATATTTTAAGATTTTAAAGACAATATTTATAAATAAGATGAATCTGTAGCTTTCTCTTTTTGTGCAACCTCTGTTTGGTTTTAATGTCATTGTTCTATCTTCATTAAAATAATTTGGTAGTTTTCCTTCTTTTTAGGCTCTGGAACAGTTGAAGAAACATTGAGATTATTTGGAGTTGCCTATAAGACCTTTAGGACCTGGTGCTTTTTTCTTTTTAGGTGGTGGTGAGAGACCTCTTTTACAGCTTCTCTACTTCTGTGACAATTAGTCTTTATAGGCTGGGCATGGTGGCTCACACCTGTAATCCTAGAACTTTGGAAGGCTGAGGTGGGAGGACTGCTTGAGCCCAGGAATTCAAGACCAGCCTGGGGAACATAGTAAGACCAGATCTCTACAAATTAAAAAATTAGCCAGTCATGGTGGTGCACACCTGTGATCCCAGCTACTTAGGAGGCTGAGGCAGGAGGATCACCTAAGCCTGGGGAGGTGGAGGCTGTAGTGAGCCATGATCATGCCACTGCACTCTGGCCTAGGTGAAAGAGTGAGACCGTGTCTTCAAATTAAAAAAAGCAAAAGAAAAAAGAAAGAAAATCAGAAAATTGTCTATTTAAATGGTTTTGGCTGGGCACAGTGGCTCACACCCTTTGGCCTCCAAGGTGGGTGGACCACTTGAGGTCAGGAGTTTGAGACCAGCCTGGCCAACATGGTGAAACCCTGCTTCTACTAAAAATATAAAAATTAGCCAGGCATGGTGGTGGATGCCTATAATCCCAGCTACTTGGATGGCTGAGGCAGGAGAATCGCTTGAACCTGGGAGGCAGAGGTTGCAGTGAGCCAAGATCATGCCACTGCACGCCAGCCTGGGCAACAGAGAGAGACTGTCTCAAAAATAAACAAATAAAATAGTTTCTATTGGGGTCACTCTGGTTTATTATTTTTTCCTAGATTATCTGTAAAAATCCAGTATTTAAGTGTTAAAATTTGATTCACTCAAATTCCTAAAAAAGCCTCTGTTGAAACATGTCAGTAGGCTAGTTATGGCCTGTGAACTGCCATCTTGCAATGACTAGATAGAGAATTTTTGACCTGAAAGAGGCCATATGGATTCTATACTGGGGATTGCAAACAGATAACATGCCTGGCAGATGACTTAAGCGTGTGAGGTGAAGACAGTGGTGAATTGGAGAGCCAACACCTCAAAGACAAGCAAGTTAATTTTAAACAATATATATATTATTTTTTTAGATGGTGTCTTGCTCTGTTGCCCAGGCTGGAGTGCAGTGATATGATCTTGGCTCACTGCAACCTCTGCCTCCCAGGTTCAAGCAATTCTCCTGCCTCGGCCTCTTGAGTAGCTGAGATTACAGACATGTGCCACCACTCCTGGCTAAGTTTTGTATTTTTAGTAGAGATGGGGTTTCCCATGTTGGCCAGGCTGGCCTTGAACTCCTGACCTCAGATGACCCTCCTGCCTTAACCTCCCAAAGTGCTGGGATTACAGGTGTGAGCCACCACGCTTGAGTGAATCTTCTCATCTTGAAAATAAATTATTTGTGGAATTGAATCTAACTCTATTTTGTACATTATGAAAATGAGGCCCCAAGTAGTTAAGTCCCTATTCACATGGGAATAGGACCAGTGCCCTTTTTGGCATTCTATCATGTAATAGTTCCACTTATAGAATCAGAAACTGTAACAGAAATGAAACTTTCTTAATTTCTAGAACTGACTTTAATGTCTGACTCTGAATCCCCAGCCTACCTCCTTGCAGATAATTTCAGGCGTCTTCTGATAAATTGAGAACCAATCCAGTAATTTTGAGTGGATATAATTTCAGCCTTATTGATTCATCTTGGGCCCATTCAGAGCTCTCTGAACTTCCTGTCTCTTCTTCCCCAAAGCTGATCCAATTCCTAGAGAAATTGTATAGCCACAGCTAGGAAGAGGTGAGGTTGGCAGTGTCCATTTTTGTGATCTCATCAGGTCTTACTGGCATCATCTGATGCCCCTTGTGAGCCTGGATACTTTCCTTGTCACTCTTCGATCTTCAGACAGCTCAGGATACTGTTGGGATACCCCTCCTGCCTATAGCCATCTCCTACCATCTCTCTTGCCTTCTCCAGGCCCAGTTGTTTCTTTCAGAAGCCCTCTAAACTTTTGAAGGGGATCCTCATATATTTCCTTCCTTAAGACAAGGTCTGCAGTAGGGGTGACAAAACTTGACTAAGCGGTAGATAAGGCACCAAAGTGAGTCATGCAGACTCTCACCTGCTCACTCCCTTCTCTGCATGCCATTCATGCCAAGTCCCCTTTTAAAAGCCCTTGCTCTCTGCTCCAAAAGCAAAGAGGTACCCTAAGACAGGAAGCCCATACTTTTCCCCTTAAGCTAGCTTTGGAATCAAAAGTCACTTTCTTTCTACCAAATCTTGCTTTTTTTTTATTTTTGAGGGGAAACCTCTCTGTTGCCCAGGCTGGAGTGCAGTGGCATGATCTCGGCTCACTGCAACCTCCGCCTCCCAGATTGAAGTGATCCTTCCATCTCAGCCTCCTGAGTAGCTGGGATTACAGGCACCTGCCCCCTTGACTGGCTAATTTTTTTGTATTTTTAGTAGAGATGGGATTTCACCATGTTAACCAGGCTGGACCAGACCTTGCTTCTGTTAACTGAACACTACAAATGGCGAGCAACTGTCCCTGAAATTTAGCTACACTACATTCTAAAAAAAAAAAAAAAAAAAGAAAGAAAAAAAAATGCCCTGGCTGCACGCAGTGGCTTATGCTCATAATCCAGCACTTTGGGAGGTCAAGGTGGGTGGATCACTTGGGGTCAGGAGTTTGAGACAGTCTGGGCAACACGGTAAAATCCCGTCTCTATTAAACATACAAAAATCAGCTGGGCGTGGTGGCAGGCGCCTATAATCCCAGCTACTTAGGAGGCTGAAGCAGGAGAGTAACTTGAACCTAGGAGGCAGAGGTTGCAGTGAGCCAAGATCGGACCACTGCACTCCAGCCTGGGAACAGAGCGAGACAGTGTCTCAAAAAAAAAAAGAAAGAAAAAAATGTTTTCTACTTAATC